GTTTCTCACAAGAATTCTCAATACGGGGACTCTCAGAGCCACGGATCTGGGCCATTGTAAGCGTCAAGAACTAGTCTCTATTAGAGTGAGAAAGAGCACAGGAGGCGCGACACTTTCGCAACCTGGATGTGCGAGGCTACGGCTAAGGCCTTGCTTGTGTGCTGCCTGCTGCCATCCTTATCAATCGCGGCATACGTGGCGTCTGCGCCCTCTCGCGTACGACGTACTCTCTCGCGTTTTCCCTCTCCTCGCAGCGCTGTGTCTCTCCGTCATACCACGGCCGACCTCACAAGGGAAATTTCAGTGTTTTCTATGTTCGCTTTTTTTCTACTAACGTTCCTCATCGCACTTGTTGTCCGATTTTTGAATAAAACAACACATCTGTTCGATCACAAGCCGTGCCTTTAAACATCCTGACTGGCCGCCACACTTATGTGGGGTCGAAATAAGGGCTCAAGCTTAGCCTTGAAAGGCATGCCCCAGGATCACATTGGTGTGGCTCTTGCACACGAATGCGAATGTATTGGTGCGAAGTGGGCCGGCAGTAAAAAAAAGGAAAAGAATCCGTCGAAAACGCTCAGGTTAAGGGCTCACTCACCTTCCTAATCGGCTGTGCTAAGGGAATGAGAGACTAAGCGCGGAGAGGAGAGTATGAGGCGAGAGAGCGCCAGACAACAGCCTGATAAGAGAAAAAATCTGCAGCTTTGCAAGGCCCAAGCGCTCTTGTCGGTTGGTTTCCGTGCACGGGAACGCCACATTTGTGATTGTCCTCTAGGGGTCTATACTACAGACCGAAGGAAGCGTTCACACGACCTCTGCCTGGGTTGTGCTTTTAACTCCATATTGGTCAGTGGCCGGACCAAGGCATCAAGAGCTGATGCGCACTTCACTCTTCTCTTCCCCTCGAACTCAACAATAACAATGGACTCCGGATGAGTTCGAGGCGAAGAGGTTGCTATATGGTTTCTCAGGGGGAAAAAGACCACGCAAAATGGAGCCCTTGTGTTACCTCACTGATTTTCGAATATGAACGAAACAGCGTACGAGATGAGGTCGTCAAGATGTGCTGTGAGGTGTCGCTTGTGAGCCTGACAACAGATCAGAAACGTCATGACTTTTTTCCTGTTCGAGAAATATTCGAATCTCTCAAGCACCCCCAACTGCTTGCTGGCGACGAGCCGTGCGCGAGAGCGCATTTTTCAGCAGTCAGTTCTCATGCGGTGCCGGTGTAATGTCAACACACTTGTCGTTGGCGCTCCCTCGTTGAAGCTCCCCTCACTTTCCTTCACTTCCACACCGTTCTTTCCCCACAATCACACCCCAATCTTTCCATCAGATGGATCATCTCTGATTCTTTTTTGCACGCTTAAATCTATCACCAAAAGTATTGAGTTATCCAGTAATCTGACCTACCCAGCTCGTCTATCAGGCATATGTTGCTTTCATTGCCCATAAATAACATTCAAAAAATAGCGGGAGCAGCTCTCTTGCATGTTTCTCATCGCGACGAACGCTTGCGGGCCGGTTCCCGTCGTTTTTGATATCATCTGGGCTAGGTGGAAAGTTGTCAAGAACCGGTGTTGATAAATGGGCTAGAAGTTCGACCTTAATGAACGGAGTCTAGTGATATTATAAGACTCTTTGTCCAAATCTCACTTCGTTGGGCAAACCTTGAGTGCCACCGTAGTTAGTGACTCACAAAGAAATATAATCCTCGTGTGAAACTGTGCGAGTGAGATGCTATCAATTGTATTATTTCCAGATATGGCGTGGGAACCGGAGTCTTCACTCCGCTATGGAGGTCCCCAGACCGCTAGTAGTGAGGTCGACGAGGATGAGGTGATAATTCTTATCTTTTGATATCTATTCCTCAATGATTCCAGGTTATTGCTGTTAGAATGGTAACAATCAGTGTAAGTACGGTGGTTTCTATCGATTGAGTTCAAATTAATTATGTATAATTAAGTGGTTGATTAAAGCAGAGAAAAGGTTCCAAATCGCCTCGAAAAAATGCAAATAATCGCGTTTCACGTGGAATGTGTTGTTTGGAGTGATGTAAGTTGAAGAACAGGGAAGAAATGGAACTTGTGGGGAAATTATTTACTTTGTTATATCATAATATTTATTATATTATATTTTGAATATAGTTAAGTAATCGCCGTGAATCGCCACTAGTATGCCTAGTAAGTAGTTTACGATTGAAATTCGCTCCTCATAGCAGTTACATAAATTCGTGTTTTATGATATAATAATGTTACTTTTCATAAAAAAAAACTAGTGTTTTGGTTATAATGAAATTGTGCGTTCAACTGGCTACCATTGGATAATTTAGCGCTATCGCAAGATACGGGGGCACTAGGTGATGGCAATAATTTGGATCGATTAAATGTTCTTTATTTAGAAAAAGGTTAAGCCTTAGCGGTCGGTGAGGAATGTAATCCAGTGTGGGTGCGCCAGACATTTTGATTTTTGCCCGGAATCCCTGCCTCATAGTGCTGGGATTGGTTAGTCGGGAGGAGGATTTGCCCCGCGTGTTATTATTGTGGTAGGGCCAAGATCTATGCTGAAGGGTGCCTTCAAAAAGTGCAAATGTTTGGCTCAAATGGTGGTACAGATATACTTATCACTTGACATTTAAAAGGTTTGGCCCCACTTCAGCTTCCTAAGCTCATCTAGATGACATCATCGTTGTCGGTAAGATAATGTTTGCCACAGTGAAAGTGTTGACAAAAAGCAGGTATCTCAGCAACTGACAATTCTCGAACGAGTACTAGTGCAGGGCGCACTCCGGAACATCTTATTGCTTCAGCAATACCAAGTGCGGATATTAATGTAACTTTAAAGATTAGTCTTAACCTCTCGAGCGGTAGAGCTGGTTGAGTTGGCGTCAGCGCCTCTTACTCGGATAAGTGCGGGGGATTTTTATGTTTGCTCAAATGCTCCACAGCACCCGAGCTGGATTTCGGTACAGCGCTGGCGCTGTGATGATTCAGGAGCAATTCGAATTAGTACCTCTAAACGGATTTGTGCGGAAATTCAGCGCATAAAAATCAGCTTCTGATTCTGATCCTCTATAAAGAGTAAATAAAGCGGGAACAGGGTCAACACCGTACGCTGAGCATTGATCAGGGGATCGTATTTCAAAAAGCTGTATGGATGGGGGAAGGGGTCGCGTTCCTGGCTTTTGCGTACTGCCGTTGTGTCATTGTTGAACAGAGCTGAATTTTGAGATTTTCAAAAAGGGTAGTACTGGTGGAAATTGAGGGATAATGTAGTGGTGGAGGGAGAGAGTGACGTTTTGGCGGTTTTTAACATTTTCAGCAAGATTTCCACAAAAAAGGCGCAGAATGTTCAGGTTGTGAGCATTCACTGTCTCTTCAGCCGTATTTGCCCCGCTCCAAGGCAGTTTTTGAGAGGAATTGGGGGGGGGGGGAGGGGACAGGTAAGGCATGTCACATGGATTCAGAATCAAAGGGGTTCGTGAAAATTCCTATACATATAAGCCTAACGTGACGGTCGATCTTGGCCTATATCATAATTGCACCTAGAGCCAGTTACAGCAGTGCACAGTCTTGGAGCCAAACCCCGGATCGTCTAGCCTAGGCTGATTAAGCATCCATGCCTCCAGGATGTGGTAGGAAATTAGTCTTACAAGGGAAATCTTTCAGACCAAGGTCTTTCAGGGCAAGGTGCGCTTTTTGGAAACGGTTTAGTACATGTTGTAGGGACGCATGTATGGACCACAAAACCATGTTTCGTTTTCGCTGAACGGTTTTAGTAGTACCAAAAAAGTGGTGAATAATACTCTTGATGGTTCAATCCCCGCGGCGACTAAATTTTGCAATCAAGGTTGGCGGCCACTTGTTGGCTTCAAAATGGTCCTGACGATGAATTTGACATCTGATTTTGATATTTAGCGCGATTTGGCACCAAACCGTAGGCGCCAACCCAAATGCAAAATTTAGTCGCCACGGGGATCGAACCCTTAACAGTACCTTATGCTTCTTTTTTGGTACTGCTATAACCGTTTCAGCGAAAATGAAACATGGTTTTGCGTTCCCTACATGCGTCCCTACAATATGCACTGAAACCGTTTGAAAAAGCGCACCATGCCCTGAAAGACCTCCATTGTTAGATTCGTCTTAGAGGATAAATCCACCCACTTATGCTCTCCGAAAGTCGACGATTCTATAGACCATCGCATTAAAATATAGTAGCAACTGGTCTGGGTGGGAGTGGAATGCATGGCGCATCTAAAAAACTGAGCGACGCTGGATCAGCCAATTGTTTGCTCACGTAATCGCAATCGCGCCAAGCATTGTGATTCCTTTCAGAGCCGTGGAAAAGATTGAAGTGGAGTTCGAAAATTGACAACCGAACACGTTGTGAACGAAGGTTACTATTAGTCCAAGACAAAATAATCATATTGGGTTTGCCCCATAATTCCCTGTCCGAATTTCGACATTACCCGAGTTGTACCTTCTCAAATCACATAGATCAAAATATCAGCCGTCATCATAAAGGCCCGATACGCATCCTTTCGCCAGCGATACCTTTGATGATTTCCGTCCGACGAATCGGTGAGCTATGAGCCTGAAAGATTCGAAGATCGTTTGGAGTGGATTGTGCCTAATTTAATGACTTTTTTTCTCTCCCGCCGCGCCCGCTGCTTCCTGGCCCTATGGAGTAATGCTAGGGCTGTACGACGGTTATGGTATCGTGGTCCAGCCAGTTTCCCTCAGATCGTAACGAGCGACCATGCAATGTGAGGTCAGGCGTCTATTAAGAGAAAGGGGATTTTACATGTAATAAATTGTAAAATGAAGAGGAATTGCTGTCCAAAAGACAGGGAGAACAATCAGACTCCGAATTATATAAATTCACAATAAGAAAAAATGCAATACCATAAAATAACAGAACGAGTTCAAATGTTGCAGTGTTGGTTCACAGAACTTCATAAAAACTATTTGAATCAAAAAAAATAAATGGAGAGCGAGAATATCAGTAATGTTTTATAATCAGCAATAATTGATAGTAATTAAATAGTCAATAATAATATCAACAACAGTAAACAATCAGTGAAAAAACTGGCATTTTTTGGAGTATTTCTTCCCCACCTAATATGACGACGCATCCAGACTTTCGACTTGAAATGATAATACTTCTAACGGCTAATTTATAGGGAACCCCATATAGGTTAGCCTCGGGCGGAGGTTAGTTTCTTGATTCAGTTCAGATTTCTTCAGTTATCCTTAGGCTTTGTTTTAAGTTCTTTTGCAACTTTTTCCTGTTCGCTGTCAGAAGGCTTACCTGAAGCCTTGAATGGTTGGGTTCTGTGAATAAGAAAATTGCTCGATTTTGTGTTGAAAAAATAATCGCAAATCCCTAATGAATGAATTTTCAGGCTAGAAAGGTGGCAGAGCGTGAACGTAAGAAGGAAGAAGTACGCAAGCGTCTCATGGAGGCCAGCAGGGCCAAGAAAGCCAAGAAAGGTTTCTTGACACCGGAACGAAAGAAGAAACTCAGAGTGAGTCAGAATTACTATCAGGGAGACACAACACATTTTTTTTTCAAAAAGACCTACTGGAACTAGGTAGACGTTACAAGCCTAAAGCTCCCTTCTGACTCGGATAGACCTTGTAGGGGAACGCTTAGCCAGTCGTGCATGTGGGAAAACCTAATAAATTTCCATTTTCACCGAGGAACTGTTAGACCATGGAAAACCCAATCTGGATCCCTGCTCAGGAAATTCATCATTTTGAGCTCCACCTTTATAAGCCATCTCAGCAGATTCACTAACGGATAATGGGCTTTGGAAATCAGAGACCGCTATTTCAGCACCGACGGATAAGGATTCTCGACCACATGGTTTGAAGCTGTCGTGAAATGGGAGAAAGGCGTGTAGCCAAAGTCTCATGATATAAATGGCTGATCTTCTATCATCCCCCCCCTTGTCTAGTGTCCATACGTTCATCAAACCTAACATCCGTACACAAAGGTGCACGTTCTTCCACTCATTCCGGCTGCATATGTATGTGCATCTGCCATTGCGAACTGTCGCTGCTGCTAATGAAACAGTAGCGTGTTCAAAACCAGGGTCAACCGCCGGGATCGCACTTTCCCGAAAAACAATCGTTGAGCGGCGAGGGGAAGGGGGGGGGGAAGTTAAATAGTGCAATGAAGCAAAAACTTCAACCACGACCTCTTAAACCAACTTCCAGAATAGGGCAAGATCAAAGCTTACAAGCAAATCAGTGGTTAGAAATTAAGCAGGAAATATTTTAGAAACTGTTGATGATGAAAGCCGCCGAGGATCTGAAGCAGCAGCAAATGCTCAAGGAACAGGAACGACAGCGTATACTTCAAGAGCGAATCATTCCGCTGCCGGATCTCGATGAATGCGGTTCGCATCTTCATTTGAAAATCATGTGGGGGGGGGGGGGGAGGGACCGGGGTGTTAGAAAAGGGGTGAACAGGTGAACAATTGGAGCTATCGCGATATATGGGGACATCCTCTAGGACTGATTCTAGGAGGGGCAAAACTCTGGTAAAAATGAAGATGGCTAACGCACCTTGGAGTCTATTCACCGCCGCTTGAGGCTTAGTCCAGTTTTTAACCAAGAAGACTCTCTACGCGGTTTCAAATGAATGAGCCACCACAGTGCCTCCGTGTATTGCAATAGCGCCCAGTTATAGATTAGTTGGAATTCTAAATTATGAGTCCTGCACGTCACATATGTTGCAGCCTACCTATTCCCGTTCAGCTTTCTCTAAATTTCAAGATTACGCTGAGGATTTTCTCTCGAGCGACATTTCTAATGCGTTTTTTGCTTGCGGTGGTGTTAGTATGGCGATTCTCTTGAAGCACTTACATCCCGAAACAGGAGGATAATTCTCTCTAGCTCTGGAGTGATTCTTCAGTTTTACTGCAGTCATTTTTGCAAGCTAGGGACGTCCAACACCCGGAATTGTTCCGAGGTGGCAGCGCCAGCTTTCAAAGCGCCCAGCCAGATTAGAAGGGGTCCTGTTAAATTTCTTATGAAAAAAACAGAAATACTCTAGTGCAGATGGTTGGTCGTAACTCTTCTGATATGATTCTCCTTTTCAGATGATCTTGAGGAAGTCTACAATCAGATGCGCGAACGTCTAATTGCCTTGGAAAGCGAGAACTACGACGTATCGTACACAGTACGACAGAAAGATTTTGAAATCAACGAGCTCACCATTGCAGTGAACGATCTTCGTGGAAAATTGTACGAATCTATGACGTCATCCCTTGATATAAGATAGAAAAAATGGCAATTATTTGAAATTTCAGCGTGAAGCCTACACTGAAGAAAGTGTCAAAGACTGAGGGTAAGTTTGATAAGCTGAAGAAGAAAGAAGCCGCCAAAGTCGATTTCCGTTCCAACCTGAAGCAAGTCGACAAGAACCAATTCGCTATGGAAGAGGTAAGGCCGAGCAGAAGATTATAAGTTCGGGAACATAGGGCGGTATACCGTAACGTACTCGAGGGTGGCACTGGGGCGCGCGCGGCCTGGCGTTAATGAGGGTTACGGTATACCATCCTATGTTCCTGAACACACAAGATTGTGAGCCGGACACCGAAAATACGACCCCAAAAAGCAACCCCCCATTCCCCCTTTCCGGAATCTCAAATACGACCCCTCGTTCGAATAGTGCGAACGGACGGATGACCCTGCTCTGAACTCCCGGTTATTGATCGCTTTGCTATTTATGGTACATCACGGAAGGATTTCGCTTTTTGTTGAAGTGTAATCTGTAATTTCAGGAAGGCAAAGAGAAAGCGAAGGCCGACTGGGCGAAATAAATCGATTATCGATCGTTAACAATTCAATATGCTCGTGTGTGTTGTTTTCTTGTCGATATCGATTGTAAACTTTCAGTCATAAAGAAATATTATCGTATTCAATAAAAATACCCCCGATTTCCATCATTCATATTGGTAATGGAAAGGCAGACTTCTGTTCGGTCCTCCGGCTTTACTCTACTCATTATCCCTATGTATGCACTTAGAGTAAACTTTAAGGAAATCGGGGTTCATCACGAGTTTCCTTCACGATGTTGTCCTTTTGATTAGAATACCGATGC